TACTACAAATAGTAAAACATTTATATCAAACGATATTGCGTAATGCAAAATACAAAACAATTATCATTTTTTGTAACTGTTATTAACAAATTTTTTATAAATATTAATTATTTAAACAAAAAAATCCATAAATTATTATTTTTATTTAATTTTAAAAACACAATAAAAAATTTTAATTCATATTGTCAAAGCCATAGTATTAGATTTTAAACGACTGATTTGAAGTTGGCACTCTTGACGTCATTTTCTGTTGGCGCGAAATAATATATTATATTATATTATTATTTAAATAAAAATTACTTATAAAATTTTTTTTTGAAAGCTTTTATTTAAAACAAAAAATAATCAATAGTCAAATGGCTTATTTTACTTTTATTTTTTACGATAAATCAGACATAAATTACATTTGTTAAAATTTTCGATAATTCCCCAAAAAAAATTTATGTTGGCTTCCTTTAAAAACGTTTTTCGAATGTAATTTGAACTTGGCGGAGATTTTTTTTATTAAATATAAATTTGTGAAATTTTAAGGCAAAAGTTATAAAAAAAAAACTATCGTACTTGAATTAAGTGAATAATAATGTTTAGTTATTAATTCAAAAGTTATTATTTAATAAAATCTAAACATTTTTGAGTGGCATCTTTAAAAAAAAAAAGAAGAAAGCATAAGGTAATATATATAATAAATTCCACAATAACTATTTTTAATTACATTTTCTATAATGATTAAAAATTAACGGGGGGTGGAAGGAAAAAAGGCAAAGTAAAAGGTTAAATGAATAGAAAACAGGTAGGATTAATGTACAAGATGATATGTTAATAATTGTGTTTAAATACATAACATAAATAAAAGGTATAAAAAAAAAAAAAAAAATTAAAATTACACCAAGCTATATACAAGAGCATCTACAATTATTTTCTTTTATTGTACATTACATATTTTTTTTTTTTAAATAAATGAATCACATGAAGGCCGATCAATTACATTTTTTTCTTTATATATATATTTAAATAAAAAGTTTTTATTTATAAATTTTTTTATTATACATAATTCATTTTTTTATTGAAAATGGAGGAAAAAAAAGTAACTAAAATAATTTCATTTTATGAATAATTTTTCAAGCAAGCTTTAGACTTGTGTAAATTAAATTATTTATTTTAAACAAAAAAAAGTTTACAAATATGTGTGAGTTCTTGTTAAAACATTTAATAATCAAATAAAATCTTTTTCAACAATAAATAAACCACCACCAATATAAATTATTATTATTATTATTTAACATGAATTCAAGTTAATCATTATGTTTAATGAACATTTAGTTATAAAACAATCATGAGCTTTGATAAATTATTGTATTTGTTTCTCTTTTAGTTTAAATTTGTACAGTTAACAACATATATTGTTACAGAATTCAAAACATAATATGTTTGTTTTGTTTTATTCCAAAAAAAAAAAAAAAGGGAAAACATTTAAAGTTTTTATTATTATTATTAAGCTCAGCGCATATACATACACATAAAACACATATGTAGTAATTATTTATGTCAGTCTTTATTTGTTTGTCAAATGAATTTCATATATTTTATTTTGAGCCAATTTTTTTTTTAAATATTTTACTTTGTTTATAACAATTCTACCACACATAATACACATCTAAAGCTTTGCTTTTAAATTATTAAAAAAAAAAAAAACCACCTGATAACACAAAATTCTCTTTTTTGTAATAATAACTATCATTATTATCTTTTAAATATCTATATGTATATATATAAATAAATTTTTTTTTTTTTATGTTTTTAGATGACTAGGATCAGTGTACATTGATTTATATATATATAAATATATATGAGATAGATATCAGTTCGATAGGTAAGTTTTTTTAATGATTATTTAAAAAATAATAATAATGATAATGATAATAATACGGTGTGAAATATATATATATATATATATTTTTTATTTTTATTTATTTATGTACATTTAAAATTTTTTTTTTTTAAATATTATCTAACTTGGGATTTTTTGACCCCGTTTTATAAGAGGTTAACCCAAAAAAAAAAAAAAAAAAAGTGATGACGTGTAATTCGAAATGAGGCAGCAATAAGTGCTAAATATCTAACAAGTGGTCCATTTTACTAAAAATCATTAAGCAGAGAGTGTTCTTTTATTTATATCAATATTGTACATTTTATTTATTTATAAATAATTACATTAATCGATTTAGAAAAAAAAAGAAAACTAAATAAACATTCCATGAAATTTTTGTTTTTATATGAAAAGGCACAGTCGATTTTATTATTCGACTTTTAAATGCGTGCAAAAAAAATACCACAAAGTTATTAATTAAAAAGGAAAAATAATTTTATTTATTTATTTTTTTTATTATTAATGCTCTCTTATTGTTAGTTAAGATCAAACGAAAAATTTCAATTTTTTTAAAATAAATAAATAATTTTTTTTGGTGGTTAGCTGCTCTCATGTTGCTTTTTAAAAACTATCGATTATTATTATTATTAAATACGCTTCTACATTAATTTTTTAAAATTTTATTAAGACAAAAATTAAAACAAAAAAAAATAAAAATTTTAATTAACATAAAAAACGAAAGTTTTTATTTATTTATTTATTTTTTTTATGTATTTAGAATCGAGAAAGTCATTAACTTAAATTTTTTTTTCGTTTAAATAATAATAATAATTCCCCCCCTCTCCTTATCTACAACATATTTTATTAAATGAGGTCATTTTAAAAAAGTATAATAATTTCTTTATATAATTATATACATAGAAATACATAAGGCAATAGTATTATTATTATTATTTTTTCCATAAATACAAAAAAAAAATTATTTGTCGAGTTCTTATACTTCACATGCAATCCATTGTGTATTACATTCGTATTTATTTATAAAAACAAATGATGACGTATTAGATAAACATAAAAACCAATGTTTTAATTATTATTATTATTATTGAGAAAGTAGAAAATAAAATAAATAAATAAATAAAAATTGTTTTCGAGTTGTTATGGAAGACGATTGAATAAGAAAAAAAATAGAAAAATAAAACACGATTGACAAAAAAAAAATTAAATAATTTTTTTTTTTTTTTTTTGTAAATACACCGTATTAAAAAATTTTATTAATACACAACGATTGGTCTTTCATAATCAATAATCAATAATCAATTATCGTTATTATTATTATTAATATTAATAATAAGTTTTATCCTTTTTACTTTTACATTCTAATTTAGATAAAAATTTTCTTTTAACAGCCACTTTATTATACAATTATTATTATTATTAAATACAAGCTCCTAAAACCGAAAATGTGTATATACAAAAGTATATAAAACATTTTATCATTATCATTATTATTATTATTATTATTTAAATATAATAATAATTCTACATTTTATTATTTATTGTACGAAGAGAAATTATATATATGTATATATATAAATAATTACAATTATTTAAATTAAATTATTGCCGTTTACACTTTTATGTTTTCTTTTTTTTTTTCATTGATTACCATTAAAACAAAACAAAAAAAATGATAATGATGATGATAATAATAATAATAATAATAAGTAAATAAATACACTAAAAAGAAAAAAAATTCGATAAGTTAATTATACAAAATAATAATCTCCCTTTAAATTTGCATTCACGTTTTTTCTCTAAAACAATATTCTCACATAAAATATTTTTAATTTTCTTACGTAATAATAATAATAATAATATCTAATCACTATAACTACGACCGTGTTTTTTCGTCGGAGGGAGGGTCGTGGGTGTGAGTGTGGGTGGGGAAGGAAACGAAATTTTCTATTAGTGTGAAATTACAAAATTACAAAACGTTTAATAATAACTCATCTAAAATATTAAAAAAAAGAAAATTTTATTTTATACGTCGGGTGATTATTATCATTATTATTATTATTATTATTATTACTTGTGCTTTTAAATGAAATTCAGGTTGTTTGTAAATAGTTGACGATATTCTAACACACATCCTAACAATAAAAGGCAATTTTTTTAAATATTTTTTTTCGTTAATGTTATTATTATGCACATAAATATATTTTTTCATGTTTTTTTTTCAATTAACCGGAAACGATGACGTAAATCGTTCAAACGTACCGTTCGCGCATTTTTTTATATATTTACACGAAAAATTCATGGCGTCATAGATATTTGTGTGAATCGAATCTCTGCATGGATCACGATGACGGAGCATACCCTAAATTTTTCCGTTGTAAAAACAAATGTATTTCTCTGAAAGATGGTCTCTCGTGATCGTTACGTCTCCAACATTCGCACATCAAATCGTAAAGATCTTTCGTGCTCGTCGGTGGTCTGGGCAAATAAACAAATTGTCCATCGTTTAAGTGTAAATGACTAACGTTTTCGACGACGCGAGGATCGTTCATCGTTTCGTAGGGTATTCTCCGTCCGAAATTAAGAATTTCCCAAAGGGTGACGGCAAATGACCAAACGTCGCTTTTCGTCGTGTATTTACCCTGTTTACAAGAAACAAACGACGGTTGGTAGACGTGTTAAAATCGTGACGTCATAAAAAAAAAAAAAAAAATTTAACGACTTACCATGTACATGGATTCCCATGCCATCCAACGAATGGGCAAAGCGAGACTTCCATCCACTTTATAATAATCACCAGCGTATAGTTCGTTATCAGTACCGAAGTCAGATATTTTAACCTGATAAGCTTTACCTATGAGACAGTTTCTAAATGAAAAAAAAAAAGAGATTAATGGAAATCGTTCGAGTATTGGGATAATTATTTGATATCGAAGGGTTTACCTCGTTGCCAAATCTCTATGTACGAAATTTAGGGTTTCTAAATATCTCATTCCCGATGCTATTTGAGTAGCTATATACAATAGGCAATTGAAACTAAGGGTTTTGACTCCGAGTGTCAAAGTTCTACCTCCATCCGTAGGAACGTGATTTCGAAGGAACTGATTTAAATCTCCGTGGTCTAAATATTCCATTATAACGCAAAGAGGTTCTTCGTGACTGCATATACCCAAAACTCTTGCTATGTTCGGATCTTCTAACGCGGCAAGAATTTTTATATCTCTGTGAAAATCAAGTCTGAAAAAAAAAATATCATCATCATCATCCATCGCGACCCTTTTTTATTATTATTATTATTTTAAATGAATTCTTCTTCTCCGACGTTTTAAAAAAAAAACAGCTTGAACCCATTAAAAAAAATGAGGGAACAAAATGGCGGGGAGGGGGAGAATTATAAAGAAAAAAAAAAAAAAAAGTAAGGATTTAAAGGTTGGTAATTATAAAAAGAAAAAAAAAACAAAAGAAAAAATTTAAATGATTTGTGAGAATGGTCGCGCGTTGTCTTTAAAAATAAAAATTTAAAAACGTGATCTTGCATTTCTTTCACCCCTCAAATAAGGGATGAATTTTTATTTTAAAAAAAAATATATATTTATAAATAATCTTAATAAAAAATTTATACGATAAAAAAAAAAAGAAATTTTAATTCGAGAGAAAAAAAAAAATTCGTTTTATATTCATTTTATTACTAAATCGATATTACAATAATATTAACGTTTAAAAACACTTTTTTCTCCCTTATTATTATTATCCACCATTAAACACGACAAGGCTACTTGTCGGAGTTTTTAAGTATTTATCCGAGGTTTCTACCCGATTCCTTAGGGACAAATACTCGAATTTCGGTGGTGCCACTTATTATAAGATAGCACCACATCAATTCTTGAAGGTCTTCCTGAGTCCGTCTTTTTCGATGGGAACGATTTGTCTCCTGAACTGGGCTCCGGTGACTAACATCTTTGGAGTGGCCAGGGTCAGAAGCAGTGAAATTCACGTTCTCGTCGAGCTGCCTCAGGTCGACAGTAGAACAAGATTTGTTTTTTGGTTTTTTGTCTTGTTCTCATTTTTTTTTTGCTCTTTTAAGCCAACAGCACGTGGCGTTCTCAGACGGTCACCCATCCAAGTTTGCACCACGCCCGATGCTGCTTAACTTCGGTGATCGTACGGGAACCGGTGTGACCAGCACGCTATGGCCGTTGGCTTATTATTATTATTATTATTATTATTATTATTATTATTATTTGTTTTTACCGGATGAGTTTTAAAAAAAAAAAATAATAATAATAATTTTAGTTTGTAAGAAAAACTAACTTTTTCCTTTTTTTTTTTTTTTTTTATTATGAAAAATTAGTCTTAGGACCGCCATCAAAACTTTATAAAAATATATATATAAAAAATTTTTGTTTTTGTGTTTTCTCGAGTGTGATAGTCATTTTTTACAGGTGTCACACACGTGTCTGCGAAAGAAAGTAAGAGAAAGAGAGAGAGAGAGAGAGAAAGAGAGAGAAAGTTAATAACTTACTTTTCCTTTTCACTCGCATTTTGTAATAAAAATTTAACAGCCACCAATCTTTTACCGAGCGAAGTTGTTGAACCATATTCTAAAATCCCATCTGCTTCTGCAACGTAGACCTTAAAAAAAAAAAAAAAAAAATATCGATCGTGTCAATAGTGGAAAGCGCGCGTACAAAAAAGTAAAACTAAGAGGATTAAATTTTTTTTTTTTTTTTGTTTTTTTCTTCTCTCACCGTTCCAAAAGACCCGTCCGACAATTTTGACAACATTCTTAGTCGATGTCGAGGGAATTCCGGCACGGCTGTATGTTCTAAACGTCTTCTCAAAGCTGTCAAAACTTCTTGCTGACTCGGAGACTGTAAAAAAAAAAAAAAAGAAAATATTATCCTAGTTTTTCTTTTTTTCTTGAGAAAGAGCGAGAGAGAGGGAGAGAGAAAGTATATTTTCCTTCGAGGGAAAGGGATCGATTAATAATGATTGTCATACCTTTTTCCCTTTCCCTTCCTCCGACCCTCCACTTTTCGAATTATTCGTCGATGATACTTTTGAAAACATTGTATCCTTATCGTAATTGCCGTTTGAAATGATCGAATGTTGTAGTGTAGAATCGTGAGCAAGTAACGGCATCGTTCCTAATTCAGGTACTGCATAATCGTAGTTATCTATCGCAAAAAAAAAAAAAAAAAAACCCGTCATCGTCTGTTTCGAAAATTTCAAATACGCACACACAATATATAGATTTCGATATTTTTTTCATCCTCACCAGAATGCGTGAAATTATCTCCCTTATTTAAAAAATCTCTCATTTCCATGACTACGGTACTGTAACTGTAATAGGGAGCATATTTCAACGCTTGATAAGGCTCTTGATAATCGTCTAATTTAAGAAGTATGTGTTCCGGATTTGACGAAGGAGGTAGTGTAGACATTGTCGTGGAAGCAATCGTTCCGACGCATCGATTCGATTGATTGTAATTATCATCTAAAACTTTTTCCCTGAGGGAGGAGGAGGGAGGGGGAAAAAAAAGAAAAACGATTCGTTAATTTAATTCTAATTAAAATCTGGAAAAATCCTTTTTTTTCCACGGTAGTCATGGAATTATACAAACCCGTAAGAATTTACGGTTCCTGATTTTTCCACGGTTCCGCAACTGTTTTCGAGCGATACGTGTTGGTGATTTCTATTTCCGGGTAAAGCACTTTTATTACCGAGAGGACTCGCAAAACATTTTCTCTGACGGTGTCTCGATACGATTAAAAATATGGCGACGGCTAATAAAACAATAACCGCCATTAGTACCCCAATTATGACCGCCATGTAAGTGCTATCCTCTTGATTAGTCGTCGATATGGGAGTTTCTCGTGCTAAATTATTATTTTGAATTTTATTATTATTTTCGACGTAGATATCGCTTTGCACCGGAATTTCCGGATGAGGGGGGGATTCCGGTGTGAAATTACCATGTGCCACGTCTAAAATGAGGAAAATTTCTTTTTAAATTTTGAATTGAAAGGGAGGGGGGAAAAGAAATACGTTCGAGTCACGATTTCTATACCTGAATCGAAAGTAACTTCGCTTATCATGATCCACTTAGCAGCGAAATAAAGTTGAAGTTTAACAAATTTCCCAACTCTGTGGTGAAGTTTTATCGATACGTTTCTAGAATGTTCGAATATTCTATCTTCCATGTGAGTATAAGTGATGGGTTCTCCCGGGAAATATTTTCCCTCGACGCTGAAAACTATTTTAGCTTCGGAAAATACCTGCGAAAAAAATATCGGGGATTATTTATTTATTTTTATTTTTTTCAATACCATATTTCCACGATGAATCTTTTTTCTCACTCACGCACGCACGTGCACGCACACGCGCACACGTCACATTTAAAAAAAAAATAAAATTTAACGTTGCACCGCAAAAAAAAAAAAAAAAATGACGAGAAAAGGCAACAAAAAAAAAATAAAAATGTAATAAAAAGATGAAAAGATGCTAGTGATGCTGCTGCTGTTGCTCCTGTTGGTGATGCTGGAAAATAAAGAATTTCTTTATATATATATTTTATTTTCCAGCAACAAGTGAAGAAGATAACTTTTGAAAAAAGATTCCAATCACGATTTTCAATATAATTCTTTTCTTTTTTTCATTTTTTTTTCTTCTCCAGATCCTCCGCCTGGATTCTTCCAAAAAAAAAAAAAAAAAAAAATTCCTCGTCTTTTTTTTTCTTTTTTACCCTTGTCACTTGGTATTACATACAAAAAAAAAAAAAACAAAAAAAAAAAACGTTACCGAACGTTCGAAAAAAATTTGACAAAAAGGAAAAAGGGGAAAAAAAAAAGTCAAAGAAGGGGAATTCCAAAACAAAATTCATTTTTTTTTGCTACGGTTAAAAAACAAAAATATGTTGTTGTTGTTGTTGTTGCTGTTGTTGGGTCTGATGTTTCAACATGTATTCACAGCCTATTTTTCTTTTAGTTTTTTTTTTTTTTTTTTGTCTACCATTTTTTTTTTTTTTTTAAGTAGCGTCTTGGGAGATATAAAACATTCCGGTAAAAAATCTAAACAATTTTTTTCTTTTTTTTTTTTCTTTTTTTCATTTTCATTCATATTGAAAAGTTTGTTGAAATGAGCTTTTAAGAAATTGAGGAGGGAATTTTTTTTTCTTTTTTTTTAATGCTCTTTTTCCTTTTTTCCTTTTTTTTCGATTTTCCTTTCTTTTACTTCCCTACTTCGTGAGTGAGTGAGTGAGTGAGTGAGTGAGCCTTTTTTTTTTTTTAAAGAAAATCGTTGAATCGAATCAAATTTAAATGCGTTAATGTGGTTCGTTTCCAAAATGAATTTTCTAGAAATTTTATCGGAATCGTTCGTTATATTAAGGAAAACTTATTCGAGTAAATTTTTTTTTTTTATTATTATTAATTATTTATTATTATTATTATTATTATTAATCCTTTCGATATTATCGAATTTTTTTTTCAATTATTATCATTATTGTTATTACGTACATAAATTAAACGAAATGAATAACGAAAAATTATTTTAAAATTTAACGACGCCATTTTGGAATTTGAAATTATTAATAATTTTTAATCGAGTCGTTCGTTTGTTGTTTGTGTTTGTACGTTGTCGTTTACGGATTTAAATTGCGTGAAAAAGTGCGTGTCATTAATGTATTTCCGGTTTGCTTTTTTTTTAAAGATTGAGTTAAATAATAAATAAAACGGAAATGAAACATTTTTAACGTTAATTGTAAACCGGAAAATTCACTTTTCAATATTTTTCTTCTTCTTCTTTTGTAAATTTTCGCGGTTATTTTGTTTGGAGCAGGAAGAAGAAAAAAAAGGGGATGGGGGTGAGGGCGAGGGGCGAGCGAGAGGGAGTATAATTTAAATTTTTTATGTGAAAAGAAATAAATTTACCGGAAAACTAATAACGAAAATTTATGATTTTTTTTTTTTTTTTTTTTTTTTTACTTGATCGGTACCCCCGCCATTTTTTTTTTTTTTTAAACAACCTTCATCTTTTCCATCACCTGTTCTTATTTTTCATCATTCTTTCTGAATTCATAGAGTATAAAACGTTAACAAAATGAAAAGATAAGAAAAAAAAAAACGGAAGAAGAGGGAGTAAAAAAAAAAAAAAAAAAGATAAATGGAAAGGAAATGGAACTTTCTAGAAGAAAAAAAAAACGTTACGCACTTAGTCGCACATCGGTTTTTTTTTTTTATTTTTCTCTTAGTTGGTGTAATACAAGGAAATAATGACTTTAATAGTTTAATACGATTCCATTTTTTTAAAATCATTTTTTTTTTTTTTTACGTGGAAAAAGAAAATTTTTTTTATTTTTCTTTTCTCGAATGAAATTTCGTGGTACAAGAAACACAAACAGGGAATAAAGCAAAAACAAACAAACAAACAAAGAAGAAGAAGAAGAAGAAGAAAGTTAATTTAAACTATAATAAATTTTGTTTGTTTTGAAATTAAAAAAGAAAATTCATAAGGAAAAACAACACAATCGATAAATTATTATTATTTCAAAAGCAGAAATCGTAAAAAAAATAGTAATAATAATAATAATAATGATAATAATAATAATGCTTTTCTTTTTTTTTTTTCGTAAAATCCTCCTTCCGCCTCGTGTTTTTAATTTTTATACTTTTCATTTTTGTTTTTTTTTTTTACTCGTTCCGGAAAGGGATATAAAATTTAAAAAAAATGATAAACGATTTTAAAATCAAGTTGGTAACACTGCTTTCTCTTTTCCCCCGACATGTATACATATATATATAAATTTTATTAAAACTTTCTAGTGTGAAAATTTTTATGAAGGAAAAGAGGAAAAGAAAGAAAGAAAAAAAAAATTACGAAAAGGTTCGTAATAATTTGCGTTGAAAAGGTTTAAGAAGAAAGGAAGAGGTGGGGAGAAGGGGGAAAGAATAGAAATTAATGGGAGTACGTGAACGAATGAATGAATGAATGAATGAAAATGAGGGAAAAACTTTGGTAGGTTTCGAGGTAGGGTAAATCAAGTTTTTTTTTTTTTTTTTTTTTTAAATAAAAGTTGACAGAATTTTTCATTTTTTTTTTCCTTTTTTTGTTCTTTCCCTTTAGCACCCCTTCCCTTCTCCCCTCTCATTTCTAAAAACCCTTTTTTCTTATTCTTTACTCGTTCTATTATTATTATTATTATTTTTCTTATTCTTTCTTTCATTTTCTTTCTTATTTTCACGGTTTTTAATTATTTATTAAAACTTTTAATTAAATACTTGGCAATTTACGTCAGTTTAATATTTTTTTTTTTTTTTGACTTTTCCCTCTCTCTTTCTCATTTTCCCCAAAAGTTTTATTTTAACTGTTTTTTTCTCTCTCTCTTTCTCTCTCGAATAAAATATATAATTTAAATGTAATGTAATTAAATTAAAACAAACGGGTTTGTCGACCGGGTGGCGACAAACTTCAAAAACAAACGGAAATAAAAAAGAGTGACGATGATTTCATAAGAAAATAAAATAAAATAAAATAAAATAAAATGGCCGAATGTTATTTTTCTCTTTTTTTTTTTAAAGGGGGGGAGGGGAGAATAAAACGTGGAACTAACGAACGAACGGGGGAAAATCATCGGTTTTGCGATAAAATTCAAATAATTTATATTTTTGAGATATGAATAAAAAATTTTTTTTTGAATTGATGAAAAGATCCAAAAATTTAAATTTCAAAGTAATAATAATAATAATAATAATAATAATAATAACGGTAATAATTTAAATTGAAATTTTTTTTTTTGCGTTTGTGTGATATTTAAATCGTCGAAATTTTCCTTTTTTTTTTTTTTTAATTTAGGTTTTTCCTTTGCCACAAAAAAAACACGAAATATCAAAAAAAAAAAAAATTCATAAAGGATGCATTAACACAAAAATATTTTTTAAAATGCCATCGCGTTTGACTACAAAGGAAACAAAAAAAAGGAAAAAAAATTTATTTATAAAGGCGTCGTCCATTAGTGTTAACGTTCTGTCCATCAAGGCGCCAAAGGAAATCGCTAAATCGGATTAACTTTGTTACACAGTTAAAGAAAGGGAGAATTTCGTTCTTTTCTACTTTTTTTCCTTTTTTTTCCTTTTTTGTTTTTTTAAAAACAAAAAAGGAAGGGCACTCGTACGAACGGAATTTATAAAATTTTCATCGTGAACGTACCTGAACGTCTTTCGTGAATTGATTGTTGCAATAAATGTGAATGGCAGTGAATTCTCGAACTTGTTCAAATTCAAATTTAATTTCGATCGGTTGATTGTTTCTCGTTTCGTTTTTCCATCCGACCCATCCTTGATCTGAAACGTTAACAAAAAAATTATTATTATTATTTTTTTTATTAGAAATAATCGATAAAAACGTTTTATTTTAATTTTAAGCACCACCGTTCAATTCGATAATTTTTATTAACGTAAAAAAAAATTTTCATAGAGTAAAAAAAAAAATAAAAACAATTTAGGCGCGAAACGATTGAAAAAATTTAGTTATAAATTATATTAGTACTAGTTTATTGTGATATAATTAGCTTTTCTAAATCATTAATTTATATTTTTATAATTTTAGGTATAAATTTCAAAATGGTTAACGCTTTGATTAGACAAGAGGAAACGTGAAGGATAAAAAAAATTTTATAAGATGCCTTCTTAGTACATTTGATTATTACGAGTAAGTACTTCATTTTACTTGCAAATTGATTTTCACTTGCAAAAACGTTAGGCTACCAAAGGCATTGTGCAAATCCTTAAACAATAATTTAACAATGTCACTTATATTTGGCTAATTATGGCAGAGTTTATCATGTTGGTACTGTAACGCACTTCCTGTAAATCTTAATCAATATCCGGAAAAATTAGTAACCTTATGTAATACTTGATTTTAGTTTAAAGAATTTAAAAAAAGTACACAGACTCCTAGGAATACAAATCAAAATGTCTTACACGTTTTGTACTTAAGGAGCTTAGCTAAAAACCTTAATGTGTCACATGAGTGTATATAAAATCTCTGTATTCCAACTTTTAAGTATTTCTTTTAAGTGTGAGTCTACTGATTGTAAATTATTTAAACCCATTTCTTGAGTTAGTTTGTTTTATTACATCATATTTTATCATATTTTATGTGTAATATTCCCTTTAAATATGAATTAGTATCAGAAAAAATCAATTGCCTCCTTTACATTATTTACTTTTATGAGTATAGAGTTGTGAATTTTTTTTTACTTGAGCGTTGTATATTATGTTATTAGTGCATTCAATATAATACTAATATTTATTATGCATTTTGTATGTGTAGTGACCAATAAATAGTGTGAATATAATAAAAGTGAAGTGTAATAGTGAAAATTATGAGTTTGTGTAATAGTAAACTCAAAGTATTGAAATAGTAAGTTCTTTGGAAAATATGAAATATTAACAAATTCATAAACAAGGTAAAAAAAGAACCGTGGCATGGATTGATTATCAAAAAGCTATTGATACTATGGCTCAGGAATGGATTCTTGATATATCTGAGAAGAAACTAAAGGGCAAATGAGGTCAGAAAAAAATGCATGAACAACATTTGAAAAGAGTAAACGCTTGAGATATTAATAAGAGAGCACGCACAATTGATTAAGGCGTGGAAAATTATAAATTGAAACGGAAGCGTTTATCACAGCTGCTCAAAACCAAGCGTTGCGCGGATTTGCAATGGCAAATCTTAAGTTACGCCAAAATAACAAGTGCCAAATTTACCAATCACGCCGGAAATAATCGATATATGGACATTGGTCCGACATTGGCAAATCATGAATATTTAGAGAAGCACAATAAAGTTTGCAAATGTTTCTAATAAAATACCTATCAGGAATGTGGAAGGGACAACAAGCCAAGTTCGACAGCGAGATCATGCACAGTTCTGCTTGATCAATAAATCTACACTGACAGAATTGTGCCAGCCAATGAACTAGCCATTGCTGTTAACTAACTACCGTACTCCTACCCAGTCGCCAAAAAAGGTGAAATGTAGGAATTTATAGATAAAAAAATTGCCAGAATGTGTCGAGAGTGAGAATAGAAAACAATTTCTGCCATCGTGGGAACATTGGGGCCCATGCCACATTAAATAAAAATAAAATTAAAAAAAATTCTCAGGAAAAATTTAAAAGACGAAGAAACCATAGAGGAAATCGCTTTATGTGAGTCGGCCTACATTTTTCCGAAAATATTATATAAATAACACCAACAACGAAATTCGAGAATTTATTTCTAAGGTTTCGAGTATTTTATAAACCTGGAATAAATGGGTTAAAAATTTCGACAAGTTTAAAAAAAATCTTGTCGTGTTCAAAAGTGAAAATAAGTGATGATAATAATAATAATAATAAGAATAATGTTTTATTTATCTCCAAAACGGTATTTTGGTTAGTAAACTTTTACGGTAAAGTAAAACGTGACCTTTCACAAAAGCACACAAACACAAATTTATGACTTTAATTTTTGAAAGTGCATTCAAATGAATAATTAATGAATTTTTTAACCTTTACGTTACGGCATATTATAGCAAAATATTCAAAAAGAGAGAAAAAAAAAACAAAGTTTCTAAATAACGCTATAAAAGGTTTTTTTCACTTTTGTTTCATAAACGTTTGGTTGAAATTTTTTCGTTCGTCATCCATTCGTGATACCCACCTCTCCCCTACAAACGCTTATTATTATCATCTCGTAGACAAATTTAAAACGTTTCAAAAAAAAAAAAAAGTTTCGATGACGCCATAAGGAGGACATTTCATTGTTTAAAAAAAAAAAAAATAAGAAAAAGTTTTTTAAGTTTAACTTATTCGTATTTTAAAAAAAAAAGGTCCTTAATTAGCTTTGCACCCTTTGAACCTTTTTAAAAGTTAACAAGAGTTGTTGTTAATTGGTTTTAATCTTTATTTTTGATGGTTGATCGGATTACAATTTCAAGTATTTACAAGAGGAGAGAGAGAGAGAGAGCAGGAGAGGGCAAAAGAGAAAGAGAGAAAGAGTATAAAACCAAAAAGAACCTCTTAGAGGTTGTTCTTTAATTCTTGTTCAAGAATATTTTTTCCTTTTACGTTTATATAAAGGTGAATAATAAGAGGATAAGTGGGCAAAGGAAAAAAAAATACTAATAATAATAATAATAATAAAACTAACCAAAGGAAAAACGGATTGTTAAAAAAAAAAAAAAAAAAATTTAAGTTTTATGTGTTTGTGTGTGTGTCCGTTGTGAATTCATTGTTTGTTTAAAATTTCCATCTTTCGTAAACTATTTTTCTTTTTTTTTAAATTCGCCATTTTGTTTATTATTATTATTATTATTATTCAAAGTTAAAAACACCTGAGAATGTTTGCCCGAAGAGAGTAATTAAAAAGCTTTAGTAATAATTATGTATATTTTCCCTATCGTAACCATTATTCGCGGATTAACGATAAAAAAAAATTTTTTCTTACATTTCTAATCGTAACCAATTATCGATCTATCGATAGATCGATAGATCGATATCTCGTTCGATTTTCTAAAACCCTAAAAGTTATTATATTAAAAAAAAATGCGTTTTTTCCCGTATACATCGAAAATTTTTCAATTAAATTTTCATTTCTCGCATTTATTATTATTTACGAATGCGTTACAAGTGCCACGTTTTTTTTTCCTATTCGTTTTTTTTTGTTTTCCCGCCAAAAACCAAAAACGAAAAAAGTTTTTAAAATTACATATTTTTTTTTTTTATTAGATTTTGGGCGGGCGGAAAATATCGTGACTGAATATTATTATTTTTTTCGAACCAAAAAAAAAAAAAAAAAAAATTACAGAGAAAGAAAGAAAGAAAGAAAGAAAAATTTTTATTTTAATATTTAAAATGAAAATCGATTTTATAGGCGGGAGGAAGAGAGGAAGGGAAAGGGGGAGGAGAGAGAGAGAGGGGAGGGGAAACGAAAACCGATTCATATTAATTACTTATCGATAAATAAAAATATACAAATGAAAAATATTAAAATTCTTACGACGAGAAAAAAAAAAAAAAAAACCCAACAAACAAAAACCAAAAAAAAAAAAATTCTAATAATTAATAATATGCTTTGGAATAATAATTTTACGAAAATCATCATCATCATTATTATCATTATCATTATCATCATCATCATCGTTATTTTCCTATGTATTTATATATACATTTTTTTTTTATCTGCTTTTATTTTCAATTTAGATAATTGGTTATTGAATTTATTTCATTTCATTTCATATTTTAGTCTCGAATTATTTAAAATTTAATTTTAATTTATATTTCGTATATATAAATATTATTTAAATTCTCACGTAATTTATGGATAAATTTTAATAGTTTTTCCCATTATTATTATTATTATTATTATTATTATTATTATTATTATTATTATTATTATTTAAACATTTTCCACGTTTTCGAATCGACTAAAAAAAAAAATCATATTATTATTATTATTATTATTTATTTATTTATTGTTCAAAAATTATTTTCTCCGGTTTTCGTTTTATATATATATATAGGCTGACGTCATATATTTTTTTTCCTTTTTGCTCCCCTTTCCCCCCCTTCCTCCCCCCTTTTTTCCGGCAAAGTTATTTAATTATATAAATATTTTTGATTCGATGCAACGAATTTAAAATAATAATAATAATAATAATAATAATAATAATAATAATTGTTTCGTTTTTAATTTAATTTAATTTAATAATTCTATTTCCACGATTTATTTTTTATACTTCCCTCCTACCCCCCCCCCACTCGCGGAAAAACAATTTTTTTGTGTTTTTTGTTTTTAATTTAAATAACGTAAAATAACGTTTTGTGTGTGTGTGTGTGTGTGTGAGGGGGGAGGAGGGAGGGTTTGCACCGTGAGTTTTTAAATAATTAAAATCTTTTATTTGTTAATAATAATAATAATAATAATAATAATTACAAAAGAGTTCATTCACCCCTCGTTTAATTAAAAAAAAAAAAAAAAAAAATTTTCTTTACCCTTAAAAACCGACGAAATTATTCGGAATAAAACCGTCGACGACAACGAAAAAAACGAAAATGATAAATTTTTCGTCTGAACAAAGTTTTCTTTTTACGAGTAATTAAAGAATTTTTACGATTTGGCGGGAAGGGGGAGAGAGAGGGAGAGAGAGGGGTGAACAAAAAGAAAATTTTAGAAAGAAAAATTGATTTTTAATATGTTACGTGTTTCAAAAAAAAAAAAAAAAAAAAAAAGTAATAAAATATAAGAAAAATGTCACGGTTTCTCTCCCTCCCCCTTCTCCCCCGTTCTGAACAAATTTCATTCTCATTCGTTAAGATAAATCGAGAACCTTCGAAAACCGGAAACGACGAACAAAAAAATTATTATTATTATTAAAATAAAAGCAGGTGAATTTATTATCATTCCAAAGCATTTTCATTGAGAAACCCCCCGACTTACTTTTACCATAATTATAATATCCGAGCCTGAAATTTTCCGGTCCTATTTTTCCATCTGTGAGAAGACCCAAACCTCTTCTCAATTCTCCATCCCAGTAACCATCGTAAGTCGCATCGTAAAATTCCCATCCCGTACCACGGACGTCACCCTGCGGCATCGAATAACTCACGATTCCATCTGTGAAAAAAAAACGAAAACAATTTATAAGTACGGAGGAAAATCTCCGTTTGTTTGTTTGTTTGTTCGTTTGTTTTTCTCTCTTATGAATACGACAAGGACAACAACCGACCGTTCCAATGACATCCGTATATTTCGACTCTCATGCAAACGGTTCTCTTATGATGACTGTACGGTAGAAAACGTATTTTACTCGCCCATATCGGTGGATCCAATTCTCTTTTCGCTTCTATATACGTGTTGCTATTACCTTGTATTACCTGTAACGACGATATTAATATTTTTAATCTATTAAACATTAGACAGACAGAGAGAGAGAGAGAGAGAGAGAGAGAGAGAGAGAGAGACAGACAGACAGACAGACAGAGAGTGGGGAGAGGGAATAAAAATCCCTCGTTTTATCGTGTCACTAACAACATTGCATTTTATTTATTTTCAATTTAAGAAAATATTTTTTTTTTTTTTAGTATTTTAATAGGTTTACTGGCGGCGGAAATTAAAAAAAAAAAACAGTTGTAAAAATAAGGATTTTTTAATAAAACGGATATAAAAATGCATTTCGATGAAATGCTATTAAAAACGAGAGAAAGAAAGAAACAGAGGGAGGAAAGGAAGAGGGGAAAATAAGAAAATATTTTTTTTTTTTCCCGACGATCAGAAAAAAGATATAAAATTAAATAGAAAGTAAATAATATAAAAAAAAGGGAGACGAATGAGAAAGAAAGAAAACTATAAAATAAAAACGAAACGAAAAAAAAAAATATATATATATATATATATATATTTACGTCATGATAATTTTAGTTGCCATGGAAAACCAATGATTTAGAAAATGGTAGTAGTAGAAAAAACAAAAAAAAAAAAAAAAGGAAAGGAAAAGAAAGGAAAAAGGAAAGAAAAGGAAAGAGGAAGGAAAAAAATGGAAAATTGTTACTTTTGATGAATTTTTTTTTTTTTTTTTTTACAAAAAAAAAAGGAAATTTTAAATTTTAATTGATATCACGCAATGTTTGATTAAAAAAAAAAAAAAATAGCACATTCGAATAAAAACGTTTTTCTTTTTTTTAATATCGTTTTATCGTTGTGAGAGAGAGAGAGAAAGAGAGTGAGTGGGGGTGAGAGGGGGGTGGGAAGAAAATAAAAAGGAAAAGTTTTAAAAAAACGACGACGGCGTGCCGGAAAATGGAATAATCACATTAATTGTTCGTATAAATTTAAAAAAAGAAAAATTTTTGAAAAGAAAATTACCGGTGAAATTTTTGGGCGGACATTTTTTTTTTTTTTTTACCACAAATCAAAAAATGGCGATTTGACCTGATCGCCGAGCGGAAAAAACGGGAGGAAAGGAAAGGGGAGGGAAAAGGGAGAAGATAGGGAGTGAAGGGGAAAAATTGGGCGGAAAGAGGGTGTGCCCTTAAAAAAAAAAAGAAAACAAAACAAAACAACACGTTACTATTTAAATCACATCTTCATTTTTATAATTTTTTCTCTCTCTCTCTCTCTCTCTCTCTTTCTCTCTCTTATTATTCGCGTTTCCTTTTTAAAAATAATAATAATAATAGCATTAATGATAATAGTAATAATTAAACGTGCGTGTAAACAAAAGAAAATAAAAAAAAAAACGGAAATTTCGAAAGAGAAAAAAAAATGAAAAAAATAAAACAAAAGAAAGAAAAAAAAGGAAAAAAAAAAATTCAAAATGATTTAATTAATATTATTATCATTATTGATTTTATGCAAACTTTATAGTTTATAGCATTGTCTATATAGTTTATAGCGATGTTTATAGCTTATAGAAGGAAAAAAAAGGAACAGAAACGATGGGACCTTGATGAATCGGGGGTCTTAAATATAAAAATTATTTAAATAAAACTCGATGCTAATTTTTACTTTTTTTTTTGCTGCCGTTCAGAAAAAACGTCGATCGAATAAATAAATAAATAAATAAAAGCAGAAGAAATAAAATTAATAATAATAATAATAATGATAAAAATTTCGCATCGCGATAAATTATAATTTGATAAAAATTTATTTATTTAATTATTTACAACCATTCATTATTCTCAAATTGATTGATGATTCGAACATTTAAATTTTATCATCATCATCATCATCATCATTATTATTATTATTATTATTATTATTACTACATCCTTTTTTTTTCTTTAATTTTATTTTAATTAATAATAATATTTTTTTTTTTTTTGTTGTAAAAATGGCGATTTTAAAACTTTTTCTTTTTTTTTGTAAATATTTTCATTTAATTTAATTTTTGACGTCAAATAGAAAAAAAAAAATCAAAATTCTGGAGGGCGCTGGAGTCGAATGGAGGAAATTTTTACTGGAGAAAAATTTTTTTTTTATTTATCCCAAAAATTGGTTTTTTTTTTTTTTTTTTTTTTTTTTTTTTTTTTTACTCTTTTGGTTATTATACCTCCTCGTATTATTTATCAAAGGAATTTTTTTTTTTTTTTTTTAATTATTTTTAAAACCCACTAAAAAGACTAAAAAAAAAAAAAAAAAAAAGGAAAACTTTAATGAAAAATGAAAGGGAAAGAGAACAAAAGGGAGGAAAACTGTGAGGGGAGAGAAGAAAACGGATAAAGAGAGAGTAAAAAAAAAAAAATTTTTTTCTTTTTTGTTTCCGGTTTTCGTGTAATAAAAAAAAATGTGCGAATACTCTATGAGTTTTTATTTATTTATTTATTTTTTAATTATTCCCACACGTTTTTTTGCTCTCTCTCTCTTTCTTTTTCTCTTTTTCGGTTTTTTTAAAAAGGAAAAAAATTTTTCACTTCTAATTTTAATTCGTTTCGATTATTTTATATTTTAAACAGTACCGTATCGAGATTTTAATTTTAAAACAAAAAGATGAAAAAATGGGAGAAAATTTTCTTTTTTTTTTTATGATTTAATAAACTAAAATTTCACTTTTTCTTTTTTTTTTCCTGTCGCAATTTTACCTGTTTACCCGGTAAAGAGAAAAAAATTTTCTTTTGTTATTTTTTATTGCAAAACTTTAAAAAAAAAGAAAAGTTATGAAAAACCATAAAGGAAAATTTTTTTTTAATGAAAAAATATGCGAGAAAAAAAAAGAAAAAAAAGGAAAAAACTTTATGAAAATATTTTTACAATTTTCTTCTTTTTTTTTTTTTTAATTGAAATATTTGCTACTGGAGGAGATTTACTGGAGACCAAACTGGAGAATAAAAACCAAAAAAGGGAAAACATTTTTTTAAAAAAAAAAGTTAGTTATCGGGAAATTAATTTTTTTTTGTCCTGTTTTAGGTACCCCACACGATACACGATATAAATATAAATATAAATATAAAAAAATATTCGCGACGGGAAATCACGTGATCAAAAATCAAAAACGTTGCTGCTGCTGCCACTTTATATCAAAACTGTTGACGGGTAAGTTTATGAAACGTATTAATTAATTTTTTTTTTTTCCGTCGTCGTCGTCGTCAATTTTTTTAAAAATTTCATTTAACCTTTGACCTTATTAAAAAAGTTTCCGCTAATTCGACCCCGGGGAAACGATAGTAAATATGAATTTTTTACCACTTTTAAAAACTTTAAATTTTCGATTAAATATGTCGGGGGGAAGGGGAAGAGAGAGCGAAGTAGAGAGAGGTAGAGAGAGAGAGAGAGAAGTAGAGAGAGAGAAAGAGAGATCAAAAAGTTCAAAAAAAAAAAAAATATAATTCTCTGTCATAAGGTTCGTGAAACTTTTTTTCAAAAGGTTACCAATGACTTTTTTACGATCGCCATTTTAACTTTTTTTTTTTTGAAAAAAAAAAATATTTACTGGAGTTTAAAACGTTTTGACCCTTTCAAACAGTAATAATAATAATAATAATAAATTTTCCCGTTTTTTTTTTCTTTCTTTCCTCTCTTTCTCGTTTTTTTTTTTTTTTTTTTTTTTTTTATAAAAAGATTATCACGTATCCGTTCGCGTAATAATAAAAAATCAAATTTTAAATAATCCAAAAGGTGAAAGGTCACACATATAACGTAATTTGGTTTTGTTATGACAAATATTTGACATTTGGTAATGTGACAAACGTATATCTCTGGACAAATCAATGATTATTATTAAATCAAAAAAAAAAAAAAAACTTACTTCCGTTCCGTTCACGTCTCTATATCTGACCCATTTTCCTATTTTGGGTCTCCAGTATTCCAGTATGTAAGCCTCAGTGTATTCCATACCTTGTCCGTTACCAAATCGTCCCTGAGTTTCCGTTGACGTTATCACGTGCACGGTGTGTAAATTTATTTCCAACCATTCTTTCGGTTCTGCCGTTGTCGGTTCTTTCGGACACCAAGCACCACCGTTGATTTCCGTTCGAACTCTTTGAATAAAACAAACAAACAAACAAACAAACGTTTTAAAATCGTAACAATCATAATAAACAAAACAAAAAAATTGAATAAACGCCAAAGTGCACGTTACATCATTACAATGATCGATAATAATAATAATAATAATTTATTACTTTTTTTTTTAAATAACGTTCGGTGGTCGTCGACAAACGGTCGTTTGTTTCACTGCGAGAAAAATTTTAAAAATTTGCAATAATTTTGTTTGTTTTTGTTAAAATGATGAAAAGTCGTTTAAAAAAAAAAAAAAAAAAAAAAAAAAAACGGTTTTTAAAACGAGGAAATGGATTGTAAATGAAACTTACGACTTACCGGAAACGAAGGTAATTTTAACCGACAATAAAACGCACATTCTGGTAAAATCGTTCAAAATGGCAGTAAAAAAAAAAAAAAAAAAAAAAAAACAATTGTAAAGGAAAAAAATTAATTAAATTTTTCTTAGTTTAAATGCAATCGGAAGGAAAACAAATTTAATTTCCTCTTCCCCGTCCCCTTCCTCCTCCTTCCACCGCCTTCTACTCTTCTCTGTTAACTTTTCTCATTTTTTTTTCTTTTTCCTTCCTCCCATAATGTTTTCCCGCCAAAAATTTCTACCGTTTTACAAATCAATTACCCATTTAGGCATAATCGAATAAGAATAATTTAGTTTTCTTACAATAACAAACAAACAAACAAAAACAAACAAGCAAACGAAAAACCATTCGAAACAATTTTTTTTTTTTTTTAAATGAACATTTAAACGTCTATAATAATAATAATAATAATAATAAATGAAGTTATTTACCGATTGTCGTTGCCATTTTAAATTTTTTTCTCACGCGTTAGTGCGTGAGTGCGTGCGTAATAAACCGTTTGTCGAGTTCTTGTTTGTCGAACCTTTTTTTTTTTTTTTTCAATTCGTTTGAAATTAAATAATTTTCATTTCGTTTTATTTTTTTATTTTTTTTTTCCCTCGTCTTTTATGTTTTTCGCTTATTTTTTTTTATTGTATTCCATTAAGTTTTTTGTCGTTGTTGTTGTTGTTGTTGTCGTTGTCGTTGTCGTCGAGTCAAAGAGTTGTTACTGCCAGCTGGCATCGAATTTTTATTATTAGTGTCTGGAGAAAAAAAAATTTTTTTTTATGTTTCAAAACTTATTTAATACCGTAAAACTGTTTTTGTTATTGTCGTCGTCGTCATCGTCGTATTAAAAAAATTGTTATTTGTTAAAATTTCACGTTGGTATAAATTTAAATTATTTCAGTGTTGCCAATATCAATAAATAAAATAAAATTGTATAAGTAAAAATAATAAATGAAATTGAAAAATAAATAAATAAATAAAAAAATTTAATGGAAAGAAAAATTAAAAAAGAAAAGAAAAAAAAACATCAAAACTTAGTTGAAAAAAAAAAAAATTTTTTTTTTTTTCTTATAACAACTATTTTTACAGTCAATTTAATTTTTTGCAGTTTTAAACATAAAAAAAAGAGAGAGAAAGAGAAAGAGAAAGAGAGAGAGAGAGAGAGAAACTTTTAGAGTCGTAAAAATTATTACCGTATTGCTTATTACAAAAAAAAAAGAAAAAATTTTCCATTTTTTTTTTTTTTGTTTCCATTAAAATATTTTTTTACGTTTCTTTTGTGGTTAGAAAAAAATTTTTCTTTTTTTTTGTAAAAGAAAATTCGTCTGTCGAATCGAATACAAATTTTCACATTTTCCCGACTCACCCCACCCCCTCTTTTTCCTGAATTTTCCAAAAAAAAAAAAAAAAGGAAAAGAAAGAAAAAAAAATTCATTTTGAACTAATGGATTAGGCGGATGGGGTACGTTTATTTAATCGTTTTCTTTCTCACTCTCTCTTTCTCTTTCTCTCTGCCCCTTTCCCCCTCTCTCTCTCCCCCCTTTTTCTACCTGTCTTTCTACTCCAAAAAAATAAAAATAAAAATAAATGTTTTTCTTTTTTTTTCCCTACAAACTTTTCTCATGGCTTTACACTATGATGACGATGACGATAATAATAATAATAATAATAATAATAATAATAAAACCCTGTATCATTTTTTTCCCTTCCCTCTTCCCCCCTCCCTCTTCCCATTTAAAAGCAATATTTTTTCTTTTCTTTAACGTTTCCTCCTCCTTCTACATTTACCGCACGCATAATTTTTTCTTTTTTTTTTTTTTTTTTTATCCGACGCCTTCATCACTTTTTCATCTCTTTTCTTCTTCTTCTTCTTCTTCTTCTTCTTCTTCTTCTTCTCCTTCGTTTGTTTCCCTTTTTCGTGTTAAAAAACGAATCGGAATATATATATATATATTTAAAAAAAATGTGAAAATTGAAATTTAAAAAAAATTTTTTAAATTCCAACCGAATGTGTTGCGATAGTAAATTTACCTTTTATATATTTTCCACCCTCGCAACATTTTTTTTTGAAAAAAGTTGTAGTTTTGAAAGGTTTACAAAAAAAAAAGGTTGAAAATATGTAGAGGAACAAAGTGAGGAAGGGTGGTAGGAAAGAAGGGAAGTTAAACGAGGTATAAAAAAGAGAGAAAAAAAAAATTGCGAGGGGGAAAGAGTTTTGTAACGAAATTCTTTGACTTGAAATGCAGAAGAAGCAAAAAAAAAAAAAAAAATTCCCATCATTTTTACTTTCACGTTTATATATATATATATATATATATATATATATATATATATATATATATATATATATTTATAATAACGTAAAAGTTTTTTTTTTTTCATCAACTTTTTTCGCCATTTTTAATTTTTTTTTTTTTAAAAAAGTTTAAAACAATTTGGAATTTCGTTTTATGTATTTTTTTTTGTTGTTAAAAAACACGTTTTTAAACGTATCCTTCCTCTAACGTGTTTCCGCCCCCCCCTCCTCTCTCTCTCTCTCTCTCTCTCTCTCTCTTTTTTAAATCGATTATAAATATGGTTAATATTTATTGGCATGATTGTGGGAAAAATTTGCGTTCGTTGTTTTAAAAAAAAATTTAAAAAAAAGGGTGCGGAAAAGATAAAAATTTCAAAATCCCATCATACCTTTGAGAGAGGATAATGAATGAATGACAGGAATTCATTCGTCAAAGGAAAAAGAATTTAATGGATAAATATTTTAAATAAAATGATATTTTAATATCTCTCACTCTCACTCTCACTCTTTCTCTCTCTCTCTCATTTATTTTTTTTTTTTATTTGAAATTCTCGCTTACGAGTCAACCTTCTTTTGTCTAGTATTCACGGTTACACAGCAAAACCGGAAATAAGTTTTCGTTTATGGATTATGATAACGTATAAATACCATAAATAATAAGGGGGGAAAAAAATCTCAAAGAGTCCCAACGACCCCCCCCCTCTCTCTCTCTCTCTCTCTTTCTCTCTTTTCCTAACGCAAAAGAAATTAATTAATTAATTTTTCAAATTTTTAATAAATAAATAATAATAATAATAATAATAATTTACTTTGGACTTTCTTTTCGTGTTAATATTCGCAAAATTTTTTTTCCCATAAAAAAAAAAAAAAGGGAAAAAGAGAGAAAGAGAGAGAATAAGAGAGAGAAATTAGTTTTTTTTACGATCGGTGTAATTTAGTATGTTTCAAACAGGCGTGTGTGTGTGTGTATAATTTTCCCATGCTTCCGTTTGACGTTTTTGTGTCTTCCTCCCTCCTCCCACTGCTTAGTACCCTCCCCCTCCCCCCATCAAATCATTTTACCCTATTTATGGACTTGCCAACGTCTCAATCATTTTTTTTTTTTTTTTTTTGAACAATTAGAGAGATCGATACGTAGAAAAACGATTTTGCAAATGAAAAAAAGAAATTACACGTTTTTTGACACGTTTAAATAAATAATAAATTTCTCCTTATTTTTTTTTTTTGCTATTGGTAAATAAAGCTTCTAAAATATAGCAAAAAATATATTTTGTACGTAAAAAAATAATAATTTAATTTACTTTAATAATAAATGATAAATGTACAGAGTACAGGCGTGCAAATATTAATTTTTATTCATTCGTAATTTTTTTACATCGGTAAATGATAGCAAAAAAAAAAACAAAAAATTTACCGATTTTAAGGATTGAATCGATAATAATTCTTACAAATTAAATCGATTAAGGATCGATAAACGAAAGAAAATAAAATAAAAGAAAAAAAAATCGATAAATTTTCGTTATGATTTTAGTAACGTAATTCGACGTTTCGTTCGTTTACGTTTTTTTTTTTTTTATTCGGAAAATTTTTCACGTAAGCTAAGCATTAAATTTTCAAAATTTCCTTCTCATTGGTTAGATCGTTCGGGCCCCCCCCCCATGTTAAAAATTTATTAATCCATAATAATCGTTAAATAACATTAAAAACAAACAAACAAAATTTTTTTTTTTTTTTTTTTTTTTTTTTTTCATTTCTTTCATTGACGCTAATGTAAATTTATTATTAATCCTTTTATTATCGTTATCATTATTATTATTATTATTATTATTATTATTATTATTATTATTATTATTATTATTATTATTATTATTATTAAATAACATCGAATGGAAAAATGATGCGAGTGCGCGATGGACAAAAACCGAATCAATTTTCTTATAAAAAAAAAAAAATTTTACGCATAAAGTTAAAAAAAAAAAAACGTGCCCTCCGGCGGGGGGAAGAAGGGGGGCTTCTTCTTCTTCTTTTCGATTTAAAAAAAAAAAAGAAAAATGAATAAGAAAAAGAAGAAGAAGAAAAGAAAAATGAAAATTTCTGTTGTAAAAAAAAAAAAAAAAAAAAAAAAAAAAAAAAAAAGAAACGAAAAGAAACGGAAACTGTCGAACAAACTAAGATAAGGAGAAAACCTATTTACACTCCATTGAACCGTTAATATTATTATTCATTATGGCGTTGTTACAAAAACATCGACGGATGTGTTCTGATTTTACACTTTTTTATCTTTTTCATTTTTCCCCTAAAGCCCCCCACAATTTTTTTTTTCCTTTAAAAAAAAAAACTTTTCTTTTCTTTTCTTTTATTTTTAATTTAAAAAAAAAAAAAGAGGGAAAATTTTTTTAAATTTATTCCTTCGAAAAGTTTTTTTTTTTTTGTAAATTTCATCAACTTTTTTTATCTTTTTTTGTTTGTTTGTTTGTTTTGAAATAATTATTTTATTATATATAATTTCTCTCGTTTGTTGTTTGTTGTACAAATCAAAAAGTCTATTTTCCGATTTTTTATTTTTTTTTTAAATCGATCGATCAAATCAATTTTATTTTCTAATTTTTATATATAATTCAAGGGGGGAGAGGGGGGAGGGTTTTAAATTTTAAAACCCGCGTATTGAATTTTGCATAGTTTAAATTAACTAAGGCGCAAACTTAGAATTTTCTC